GGGGAGTGACAAAGACAGATGGAGAAACAATAGAAGGATAACTGAGGGTAATGGAGAAACAGAAAGATTGTGTGTCAGTGTAAATGTGTTTTTCACTTGAATATTAAGTGACAAAAACATCTGCTTTTGTGTGTCACATGCTCTTACTTGAGTTGTTTTACACATCATGTGTGTGTCGGCTTGCATGTGACCTCATGAGTGTGTGTGTGTGTGTGCGGTACGGCCGTCAGTCTCCGTGAGAATGTCTAACATCATTTCCTGTCTTACTCACACACTTCTCTCATTCCTACATGTTCCTACGGACATCTGGACACACACACACACACACACACACACACACACACAGAGGAAATAGTTGTGAGGATTCTCATGAAGACACAGCAGTTACACTTATCTCCAGAGAGAATCAGTTGTGCATTTGCCTTGAAGGGCTGACTATAAACTGACACTTAGGATCTCAGCCGATATATGTGCTTGTAGTATGAGTGAACAGATTCTTTAAAAGCATAGCCGACATTTTGGAAAATGTTCTCCAGGTGTTAGCTGAGAGGATTTATATCAGCTTCTTCTCTGCCGTCAGTACAGAGAGCGGTCCAGGATCTGTTGTTAAAGCAAAGCTAGTTGCCGGTTGCCCAAATAAGGAGAGCCCTCAGACCACTACAGCAGGGACTGTAAACTACGACAGCTTTATGGTGGGTTGTATAATATTTATCTACACATACCACCGCTGTACGGTCTGTGCCATTGGTAATGTAAACATTATATGGGTAGTGAATGTAATTATTAGGAATAGTCTACTGTTTTTAAGGGCAGGCCAAAGCATTTCTCTTTATATCGTCCCTCTTGCGTTGCTCTGGAGCTCCTCTCAGTTTTTCCACCCGCCCACCCGCCCTTCCCATGGCCATCTCTATATTACAGTACATCATCTGTGCTGCTGCTGAGTGTAGGCTCACTGTGTGCTGTCCTGGAGAGGATATTATGGGCTTCACCACACACTTAAGGGTCCCCTCTCTCACTCCCTCACAGACGCATATGGCATATATACTGCTATAGTTGTGAGGACCCTAATTGACATGAAACATTCACTGGCGACTAACCCT